TGAAACTGATTTCAGCAAAACAAAAAACGCCAAGTGCTGTAGCATTTTGAAAGGCTTGCTTCCTGAATGTTCTATGAAGCATAACGAGCTGAAATATCTGATGTTTTTTTTCTCTTTGATTAGTCTTGACTGCAGGTTTGATCACCGGATGTGGATATTCAGTGTTGAAATGTTTGTATGGTTGCACCCAAACCATATGCGACAATAACTCACAGTGACCATGCATCCATTCCTGCTGATACAGTGAGTCTGTTCTTTTACAAAATGTCACCTGCAATGGACTTGTGCATTGGATGTCTTCCCTACCCCTCTGATTCCCTTACCCCTCTGATCATCTCCTCGTTCTTCTATTTTAATCATTTTTAACATTCGTTTTTGGAAAATTCAAGATCTGAATAGTTTATGACATAAATTAGACTTGTGCATTGGATGTCAAATTTTTTTTCGTTAACAGTTTTGATTCATTGTTTGCATGGATGCACAATAAAAAGTCAAAGTAAGAAATTTAGAAACCTTCATAAGTCGAAAAATTACCTTAAAATGTAACTTCCGGAATTCATCGCTTTTCAAATCGCTGGCCACCATATGGGTCGGATCGTGCAAACATAATTCTCTTAACGTAAGCGGCATTAATTTCTTCATAAAATATCGTATCTCAACTATTTCTGATTCATAAACGTACACGCAGAGGTATTTGGCAGTGAGTTTTTGCAACATTCGACATTCCTGATATAATGGTTTACTGCTTAGTGATAGAAGTGATGGCGGTAGTGTCACTTTGCACAAGCACTTCAAATTGCCTTAAATTTATATTTTGATGACTGATTTGTAGTTATTCGTACATAATTTGTTGGATGCATGCAATTATTATATTTTGCACATGCAAACTGTTAAAATGCGCAAGATTCAATAAGTTAAATTTTATGGATGCATCCTTTTTTACTGTAAGCAATGTTTACAAAATACAAAAACTAGTTAATTACTGTAGCTGTGGCGGCAACTGATGTAGTTGTTACACCGGTTTTCCTCTTCCCTCCTTATCATTTTGATGATTGACATGAATTATTCAGTTTTAACTTACACAATGCTTTCAGATAGATGGCACCATCGGGCGTATGTACCAGGACACCCATAAGGCATAAATATTTTAATGAATTTGAATATTTGTTGGAGATCTTTTCCATAGCAGCTCCAGTTAACGACACACCCTATAAAGCGACAAGTGCTGTTGATGTCACTTCTGTTCGCAAAACGTTCTGTTCATTTATCTCAATTTTACTTCCGTACAATTGTCATATCAGAATATCATGTGCTGAAGCCTCTTTCAACTTTTATCAATCAAAGTAACAGATCGGACTAATAGATATTTTGGAAAACTTTTTTCCTTCAGCGATTTTTACATTCTCTTGTGAATTCCTTAATTTTGTAACCTGTAATTTTAACATTTTGATAGCGTTTGCTTGCAAATATTCTACGTGTTCCGCACGCATTATATTCATTGCTTTGCGTGGAGTATCAAACCGCTTCAAAATACGTAAAACGAGTAATCTCTTGATTGAAAATATTGCTTTGATTTTGTCATGCAAATTCGATTGTCTGCAGAAGAAAAAGCAGTAGGAAATTTGATCATAGCGTAAAATTAGCAGCGGTTTGGCTGTATCGAAGCATAGGAAAGTGACAAAAACTTGAAGCAAAACAGAAGATGTTGCCATCTTCTGTCAACTAAGCCTAGTGATCCAAACTGCCGATAACTTAGCCACTGAGTAGGCAATAAGACGATTTAGTAATTGACATTCTGAACTTCTTCATAGAACTCAGTATTTAATGATATCATACAATGTAGTGAAGCGATCCATAATTTCAGTGATTCATTTAAGAAATCAGATGGTCTGAAGTAGTATTTTACGATGATTCGATTACAAATTTATCTATGGGATGAAACAATCTTAAACTCTTACTTATCAAAAATATCACACGGTAGAGTAAGTTCTCGAAGGTTTGATAAACAGTCGAAGGCTGTTGCAGAAATTGTGCGAATATGGTCCGTACTACTGATCACAAGTTTTTGTATAAACGGAGAATTATGAAGTGCGCTTGTTAATTTATTAACGTCCTGAATAATTCTGTTCCAGTTAAATCTCTCCCGGTAGTTCCTTTATTGACTTTTGTAATATCAGGCATTTTTGAAGACGCAATTGTTACGGTAACTAACGTGTAAAACTGAAAGACAAAGAAAGGAGATAACGTTGTATTAAATGGACAGCAATGTGTGCTATAGAATATACCGTCTTTCCCGTAGTATTATGTACTTCCAGGATATAGCGATCAGAAGCGAGAACAATGCCTACTTTGTGTGCCGTAATACGATTGATATCACTCCACTGCAAAAGTTCTAATGACATATTCACATTTTTTGTCTAATGCCTCGCTAATTTTAAATTTGCTTTTCATAATTTAAACTATTTAAAGCTATTTATGGTCAGTAAATTAGCACCAATGGATTGCAACAAACCGGGTGTAATAAATTATACAAGTGTTTATTGATAACAGAGAACCGAGCCCTTTCCTTTGGCGCAAGTTGTTCGAATATTTCCGCAATCGTCTCATCCGACAACATTCCATGGGATTCTCCGACGAGCAATTTTTTATTACCACCGTTCAGCTTCATTATATAAAACAGGAATGGAAATTTAAAACTACCAAATACTTTTAAACAATCAGCAACTAGTCATCCTTTTCTTTCAATTATCTTTTTTTGAATGCAAACTGTAATTTCGATTTAAAATTCGAATATCCATGGGATGGACTAGCAAGTGCAGCATGCAAAATGACTTTCAGAATTCAATGAGACACTACTTTCTATACTTGTGATAATTATAACCAATTGTCATTATCCTTTTTAGTGTAATTTAACTATTGTAGTGTTATCATAATGCTGACAATACTACTGGCTGTTATTTGTGGAGAAGAAATCTTCTGATGATCGATCTGATCTACTAAACTAATGATCTGGTAATACTATTTTTTGAGCTTGTCAAATGGAAAAGAGTTGTTGTTAAATGTTGTTCTTAAATAGAAAAGACAGAAAAGAGAAAGCGGACGTTTCCAATAAGTTCAATTTCACAATGCTTGTGGGTATGCAATATTGTCTGTGCAGATATAGAGATTGTCTGGTTTGCCGACTCCATGCAACATATAATCTCCATGTGAGAAGTAATCCGTGTCTAGATCTAAACCGCAGATTCTAAAGATTGGCCCTAAGCTTTGTTGATGGTGATTGCAAATGTCAATCGAATTGGGAATTGCAATCTCTTAAATTGAAATGGCATATCCGTTGGAATCATAGGAATCCGAGAAATGAGGACATCT